AGAAAGAAAGAAAATGCATGAAAAAAAGCTCATCAGATAAGGAGATAAGCAAAGGAAGAACAGGAAAGAATAAGGCATATAAACAATAAAATGGCATGCCCATGTAACTGTAACTCCTCTGCACAGTATGTTCACAAATAAAATTAAATTAAATTAAAAAAAAACAATAAAATGGCAAAGATCAATTCATACCTTTCCGTAATAACACTGAATATTAAGAGTCTTAATTCTCCAAGCAAAAGACATAGAATGATAAGCAGGATTAAAAAGCAAGACCTGACCACTTGCCTACAAGAAGCACATCTTACTGACAAAAGACCACATTGGCTTATGGTGAAGGAAAAAAAAGATATCTATCAAGAGACAATAACTAGTAACATAGATGCACCAAATGCTGATGCATTCCACGTCATCAGATGGACATTACTGGATTTAAAAGCCCAGATAGCTCTCAAGACAGTGATGGTAGGAGACTCTATTATCTTGCTTTCCTCATTAGATAGGTCATCCAGATGAAAAATCTGCAAACAAACCGCAGAAGTAAATGATACCATACACCAATGTAGGAAGGGAGGAGAATTTATAAGGGAGAATTATAGGGGGTGGGTATGATCAAGAGGAAATAAACATATTTGGATGTATCAAGATGGAAACTCCTTCTGCAACCAGTAGACGATAATAAAAATCTTCACAAAACTACCAAAAAGGAGTGAAATACTATCATCCTCATTTTAGAGATGAAGACATGACACGAAGAGAGTTTGATTAGCTGACACAGATTGCCAGCATTTATTACCAAACTGAGACTGATCTTCCGTCCTACATCATGATTATAAGCCTTCAGGCTTGCTGATGATCTCCTCCACACTCAAACTCCAGGCAAATCAATACATTTAGGGGAAAATGTAAGAAGGCTACAGAGAGGGAAAAAGAGGGCTCCAGTGGGTATAGGCATAGTGCCAGGGCTATGTAGACTGCAGTCAGAAGACAGTGATTGTGGTGTCTGAAGTGGGTGCTCGCCATGCTGCAGGCACTCAGAAAGAGCTACTTGCAGTAGAAAATGTGAACACTGAAGCCATACTGACTCATGATCTGACTGCAGACATACTGTGTCCCTGGAGGCCATCATCTATGACATGACATTGACCTCACCTCCACTCACCTCCAAGTCATCCTCTACCCCAGCACTGCTTAGTGGCTTGCTGTCCAGGTTTCACAGTGGTGTAGAGGGCACAGAGCAAGGTCTCTCCCTGAGGAGAGGTGAAACCAGTCACACTCCACCTCCTATGCATTTGTGGCCAGATGAGAGGTGAAAGACACCTCCTGCCAGCCCTCCAGGTCCTGTCACCATCCATCACCAACGGTGTGCTACCGTGAGCCACGCCAGCACTGACAATGCAAATGTCCAAGACTTGTCTTCTTCAGGGCGTGTAACTCTATTTCCACCACTTTCTTGCAGAGTTAACACTAAGGAAGTATTACTAATGAAAAAGCTAAACAAAGCCTCTAGCTCCACTTGCCTTTAGTGGAGTTTAAGGATCTAATCTTGGAGACCCTGCAGTTGGGCCTATGCTGTTGGTTTCCCACTAGCTGCAATGCAGAATAACCTTTGACTAAAGCCACTGAACCGGGAAAAACTCCTCTCCAGCAAACGCTACCTCCCCTGTGCGCACAGGAATGCTGTGCACTGGGGAAAACCAGTTGTTTGCTACTGTTCCTGTTCTCTAGGGGGAAATTAGCTGTTTGCTATTGTCCCATGTTCTCTGGGGGAAAGATGCTTTTTCAGTTACTAATGGTTACAGAATTAACTATTCCTAGGAACAAGAACTAATGACAAGAGTCGTAAGACGCTATAATCAGTAACTTCTCTTGAGCTTTACAGATGCAGAAGATGCGGTGGCAGACAGAGAGCAGCCGACCATGCATCCGAGGAGCAACCACCTGACATCTGAAACTGTCCTGGTGACTGTCTGATGTGCCCACATACCCCAGAGAGCCCTAAACCGGAAACCCCACAGCAGGAAGGTCTTTGCCAGAAATGGCCTCATCTCCTTTGGTTTTCTAGCTTTCCAAAGGCTGTCTTTTCCTCACCCCAACAACTTGTCTTCAACCAGCCCAGGCAGTATTGAGGTTTGGACTCAAGGACTCATACTGCTTGCTAAGCAGGCACTACGGCCTGAGCCATTCTACCGTCCTTTGGAATTTCTTATTTTTGAAATAGGGTCTTGCTGCATGTCCAGGCTGTTCTGGACCACAGACTTCCTACTCGTGTTTCCCTGTATTGTTGGGATAATAGCCATGTGCCACAGAGCACCGCCATTGGTGGGAATAGAGTCTGACAAACTTTTTATCCAGCTGGGCCTTGAACTGTAATTCCTTCCATCTCTCTTACAAGCAAAAGCCATTCCATATGCAAAGTCACTAGCTTTGTTTGAGTAGCATCCAGGACCATGGGCCTTCTGGAACACAGATGAAGTTGATGACCAAGGCTTGAGGATGGGGTTTACATCCTACCTGTAACAGGTATGAAGCCTACTCCGAGGTCCTGGAAATGTTCCACTGGAAAAGGCCACTGTGGTGGCATCTTCATGAAGGTATACCTAGGAAGTCTCTCTCATTAAATGTATAAAATGGATTAAATTTTATGATATATAAATCACACTTCAATAATGCTAATAAAGAAGGGAAAATATGGTGAGAAAGTGGGCTGGTCCTGAGAATGGAAGCCATTAAATAGTGTCCAAAGTGCTGAAGTTGTTGCAGTATTTTTTTTTTTTTGGTCACTTGTGGGGCTAGAACTCTGGGCCGGGGCACTGTCCCTCAGCTCTTCAGCTCAAGGCAAGCACTCTACCACTTGAACCACAGTGCCACTTCTGGTTTTCTGGTGGTTAACTGGAGAAGAGTGTCATGGACAATTCTGCTCGTGCTGACTTGGAACAGTGATCCTCAGATCTCAGCCTCCTGAGTAGCTAGCATTACAGGATTGAGCCACTGGGGCCTGGCTTGCAGTATTCTTTTTTTTTTTTTGCTCAGTCTGAGAGCATGAACTCTGGGCCTAGGCAATGTCCCTGAACTCTTCAGCTGAAGGCGAGCGCTCTACCACTTGAGCCACAGAGCCACTTCCAGTTTTCTAGTGGTTTACTGGAGATAAGAGTCTCACGGACTTTCCTGCCCAGGCTGGCTTTGAACCACAATCCTCAGATCTCAGCATCCTGAATAGCTAGCTGTGGCATGAGCCACAGGCCCCCAGCTGGCTTGGAGTATGCTTAATGATAGCTAGATAGCTTCCAAGGAGTGGATCTTCTGGGCATCTGTGGCTGTAACTATTGGGGAACAGCATATGAGGGAGCAGCCTGTCTTGGACATCTTCTATGCCTGGATAACTGTGGTGCAGCAAAGCACAATGGCACTCTTGTCTTGTTCAGCCCTCAGAGCTCTCCGTCATGTTCTTCCTCCTCCAAAGAGGACGTTGAGTCTACTCAGCAGGCCTGACACTGTGGTCCTCCCTACTAGACACTGCTGCTACCAGAACAGAACCAGAAGGAAGCAAGGCCTGGCCCACTGGGAGTGACCAGTAAATACATGTCACACGGGGTATCTACAGGTTTATAACATCATCCATCACCAAAAGTAGGGAGAGGAGAGAATTATCAGACTGCCCTGTGTGATTTCATGAGTATCCAGGAAGACCCTTAACAGCAATGAATGCGGGAGCCACAGTCTTGGTCACTTGCATGTGCTCCTACAAGTCAAGCCTGAGACAGAGCGTGGCCTGGAAACAGGACTTGAATGTCTCTGCTGAGAGCTGAATCGAGCATCCCATTCCAATTCAACAGCCATTTCTCCTTCCGTTATCCATACCCTTTCTATTGACGCTTTATTGTTCTTACTTTGGAAAATGTGGTTGGTAGCAGTAGATAGTTTCTTAAGGAAGACTCATTTCCAAAGTGACATCAACTCTGGGGTTAGTGCTCCTCCCTTGAGGAGACAGCAGGCCTGTCACAACCCAGACTCAGGAAACGACTGAGGAAGCAGCTGACCAGGATGTCAGCCTCATAGGACTAGTGCTTAAAGACACTTCAGTAGGGGCTGGGAAAGTGGCTCAGTGGCAGAGTGCTTGCCTTGCATGCCTGAGGCCCTGGGTTCCATTCCTCAGCACAACATAAGCAAAAAAAAAAAAAAAAGCCGGAAGTGGCACTGTGGCTCAAGTGGTAGAGCGCTAGCCTTGAGCTGAAGAGCTCAGGGACAGCGCCCAGGCCCAGAGTTCAGGCCCCATGACCGGACCCAAAAAAAAAAAAAGACGACACTTCAGTCAGTTAGACAGGGGCCCCAAAGGCTCCCACACCCGCCCCAGCAGTTCCCCCTCATTACTTAGAATCTATAAAGCTGATGCTTTCCTGACCCAAAACAAATTAAAATACATTTTGATACACACTCTTCTGAAAGCAGTCTTGTGCTGTGGACATTTGATGGTGACAAATGCCAGGGCTTTCTGTGGAGTGACTGTCCCTTCAGCCTGTCTGTCAGCTCTGAGCCTCAGTAGTGTCCCAGGAGGATGAGCTGGAAGGTGTGGTCCGCAGAACAGTGTCCCCAAAGATGCCCATATCCTACTCCCAAGAACCTATTAATATGATCCTTTGAATACATAACTGAGTTCAGGACCTTAAGATGAGGAGATCACCCTGAACTATCTGGGTGGCCCATTCATAAGGCAGTCTTCTGAGGGAGAGGGAGGAGGACCAGAGACAGAGACAGGCTGGGAGATGCTGCACTGCCAGCTCACTGTGGTGGGAAGTGTGTGCACTGGAGAGGGGTCGCTCTCATATCCCTCGGGAAAGGGGGACGCTGAGGCAGTGTTACCCACAGCAAAGCTGGCTATGTGTGCCAGCCTACAGGGTCAGGAACCAACTCCTCTCACATTTCACATGAGCATTTCATTCATTATTCTTCATTCTTCCTTTTTACCTTTTTTCATGAGAGAGAATACATACTAGAACTCGTTTTCCCAAATGCAAAGTCACACTTTAATATTTAATATATAATAGGGAGTGACTGTATTGAATTATTATGCACATTTGACCTTAGAATGTAGGAGAGAATGTCGTCAACAGTGAAGCCCAAGGAATTGCTTCCTCATTGTAAAGCAAGGTGACTTGCTTTTGACAGGACTACCAAATCCTACCAAAACCATATGACTTCTCCCTTTGCCAACCTAGAGAATCCATTTTCTGTTGTTAATTTTTTCTAGGAACTGACTAGTGAATGAGATAGAAGACTGACTTTTTCAGAAAAACTGAGCTTACAGTGACAGTGACAGATTCATAGCTACCAGATTTAACTACCAGATTTCAACACAGCCTGGAGCAGATGCACAGTTTAGCTTCACAACATCTACCTTGCACTTGGCTTCACTGCATGGAGACCGACTTTGGAAAGCATTTCCTTTGATCTAATTCATCCACTTGCACTGCCCAGCTTCCTGACACTGAGGGGCTCTGTGGGCTGTCGCCCAGACAGTGGTCTCTGCGGTACATTTGTTCACAGTCTGACCGAGGAATGACACACAGTTTGTAGTGTGGAGGGATGCTGCCTAAACCAACTGCAATCGGGGTAAGGTCAATGGCCGTGGGGTCCACCAGAGACTTCAGATTAAAATGCTGCAGGATAGCAGACAGGAGCAGAAACAATTCCATGCGGGCCAGGCCTTCTCCGACACACACTCGTTTTCCTAGAAGTAACAATACTGATGAGACAAGAAGGGAGCCTCCAGAGGTTATTAACACTATTAATAGTAGGGCCTCAATGGGAGAGCAGGAGGGGCTATCGGCAAACTACAGCCTAAAGCAGAAGACACCCTCGCAGACGATGAGAAGCACAAAACATATTGACAAAACACAAGAATATTAGTAACTTATTCAAGGACCAGTTTGTATACTACAACAATCATGCAGAACTCAGCTGCAATAACTAGTGTCAGAATAAAGTATTGATAAATAAAAACAAAAAGTTACAATAAAGAGGTGTTAAATCAAATTTTAAAAAACAGCATTAGGTTAGGGAAATTGTTTCCAGCCAGTGAAGAAGGAAATATCTAACGCTCCCCCTGATAGCCCCAGGAAAGACAGTGATTGAGGTTTGAAGCCCGTTCAAACAGGAGGTGTTCATCTATCAAGTTGGTCCTAGGAGCTTCCTTCACCAGAACCCTGGTGAGGCACCGGCAAGGGAGCAAGGCACCCAGTCATATCAGAGAAGGCCTTGCTCCTTCCTAAGGAGAGAGAGACTACGAAATCGAAGGCTGCAGGGCTTTTGTTCTGTTTTGGTTAGTAAGCCTTGTTTAAAATGATGAGGAATTAGGAAATATGTTTTGGGGTTTTGTTTTGTTGGTCCTGTGGCTTGAACTCTGGGCTTACTGGGCTTGGGCATTATCCCTGAGCTCTTCAGCTCAAGGTGAAGGCTCTACCACTTGAGCCACAGCGCTACTTCGGGTTTTCTAGTGGGTAATTGCAGGTAAGAGTCTCATGGACTTTTCTGCCCGGGCTGACTTTGAACTGTGATCCTCAGATCTCAGCCTCCTCCTGAGTAGCTAGGATTACAGGCATGAGCCACCAGCGCCCAACAAGAAATATGGTTTTGAGATATTCTTACTATGTCTAGTAAAGCAGACACAGTTTAACAATGAATGTAAAGGGCTGGGAAGGTGGCTCATTGGTAGAGCGCCTGCCTTGCATGCTCAAGGCCCTGCGTTCGATTCCTCAGCACCACATAAGAAAAAAGAAAAAAGCCAAAAGTGGCGCTGTGGCTCAAGTGGTAGAGCACTAGCCTTGAGCTGAAGAGCTGAGGGACAGTGCCCAGGCCCAGAGTTCAGGCCCCACGACCGGACCAAAAAAAAAAAAAACAATGAATGTAAAAACACATTGCATCCAAAACATTGAATTGATAAAAGATGTAATCTAAGTTCTCTGAACAGGGAGGAACATGCTCAGATCATGTTCTACATACAAACCGGGGCATGGCAGGACTGGGTGTGGTCCATGTTGGGGTGATGGCAAGACAGACAAGGAGTGGAAATGAGGAGTGGAGGATGTGACCCAGGAAAGCACTACTCTGGGACCTGCTTACCTGCAGAAAATGGTTTAAAATAGTCGCTGTACTTGAACTTCCCATTTTCATTCAAAAAGTGCTCTGGCTTAAATTTATCTGGTTCTGGAAATTCTTGGCTGTCATACAAAAGTGAATCCAGAGTTGGAATTACAATTGTGCCCTAGAAAACGTAGACACATTGGTCAGTCAGCTTTAGAAAATATGGTCTTTCACCTGGAAGTCCCAATGAATAAAAGATTATCTGATTTTTATTGTGCAGGATATTAAATATCTAGTTAGGAAAGTTGTTTAGTTAAGGACTAGACGAGGAAACAACCAGGAGTCAATCCTAAATGAGATAACAACCGGAAACTTTTCACAGGATGAAAACCCGGTCTTGGTTGGTGATTTTGGCTCCTGGGATTAGAATGTGCTACGATTTCCAGGCCTCCTTTACGGATGTACTCTCCTAGTATGCCCGTTTCTCTAGTCACCACGTCACGTGAGAACGTCCCTGGCAGTGGCACTCCGCAGGGTGGGAGTGCTGACCTGGACCACCATCCAGGCACCCTCACGACAGAAGCCCTGGAATTCCTGTCTGGACCCCAGCAGGCAAAGGGTGAGCCAGTCATCAGGACAAGGCTCACAGGAGGCATTGCATCTTGTCTCTGACCTTGGGAATCCGGTATCCTCGGAACATGGTGTCCCGCGTCGCCTCATGGGGAAAATTGGCGGGTATAAGATTGATGAATCGCTGAATCTCATGCACCACAGCATCCATGTAGGGCATCTCCAGCCTGTCTTTGACGGCAGGGGCGCGACTTGGCCCAATAACCCTGTCAATTTCTTCATGAAGTTTCTCTGCCAAGACATGAATGAGATCCATTTAAAGAGCTGATCCTGATCAAAGTAAATTGTATGCCCATGTGGACATGTCTAAAGGAAACCCCTCGGTACGATTAATTGGTGCTAATAAAAATGTGAGAGTAGATGAAGTTGATTTCCCATCCACATCCTCCCGTGTATCTAATCCGTTTTCCATCTACCCACTCTTCTACCTATCACCTGCCCGTTCATCTTCATGCCGCCCTCCTACTCACTTGCCCACCACTCTGTTACACACCTGTCCCTCTACCCATGCACCTCTCATCCATGCACACATCTATCCAATCCCCCTCTCACCATCCACCAAGCTACCATGTGTCACATTCATGTTACATCTTAAATTTGGTACCCACATAATTCAAAATCTGGATAATTTCCCTATAAATGTCAACAAGACCTAAGGCCTCACATTCCTGCATGTGAGATTGATATTCAGTCAACAGAAAGCTTGTAATCTATTATCTTACTTAATGATGGTTTATCCAGTTATTTTCAGGAATAAAGAACAATAAAAAGGTCTTTGGAGGTTTTCCTTGCAGAGAAATACTTGTCATTATTGCCCATGGCTGCTTTGCTCTGTGCTTCAAAATTATATGGAGGGAAGAAGGGCACCGGTGGCTCACCCCTATAATCCTAGCTACTCCGGATGCTCAGATCTGAGGATCTCGGTTCAAAGCCAGCCTGGACAGGAAAGGCTGTGAGTCTCTTATCTCCAATAAACCACTAGAAAATTGGAAGTGGTGCTGTGGCTCAAGCGGTAGAGGGCTCGCTTTGAGCTGAAGAACTGTAGGACAGGAAACAAGCCCCGAGTTCAAGACCCATGACCAATACAAAAAACAATTAAGGGGTAACATAATGGAACTGGACATGCATAGTCCCCTTTCTTTGGATGTGCTGTGTGGTTGAGCCTTGAGAATGGTACACAAACATTTTGCCACTCAAATTATGCTCTAGCCAATGTGTGTGTGTGTGTGTGTGTGTGTGTGTGTGTGTGTGTGTGTGTGTGTGTGTGTGTGTGTGTGTGAGCGTGTGTGCACGCTGGTCTGAGGATTAAACTCAGGGCCTGGACACTGTTCCTGGTTTGATGCTCACGCTAGTGCTCTACCACTTGAGCCATTGCTCCCCTTTCAGCTTTTGGCTGGCTAATTGGAGATCGTCTCATCGACATTCCTGCCATATTTGAATAACCATTCTAAGATCTTAGTCTCCCGAGTATCTAGTATTACAGGCATGAACCACCAGTGCCTAGATTTTTATTTTGTTTTGAGATTGAGTCTCACCACTACCTTTTGCACAGGCTGGCCAACACCAGATTAGCTTGAATTACAGATGTGTACCATAATACCTGGCCACAGACTACTTGGAATCTGAAAGTCCCTCTCTGCTAGAGCTAACACAACCATTAGACAATTTCTCAATCCTTCTCTGTTTGAAATCACCCATTAAACTTTAGGAAACATTAGATGAAAAAGCAAACTTCAATATGTCATTTATAGCATGGAAACCAGGTAGACTATTAAGCTGTGTACAGCAAAGATGTGAGTGGGCATTGAGTTAATAGTAAATGCACTGAGGGACAACAGGTAGCAAACCTGAAACAGCGCCATCTCTGGGCAGGCAGGCAGGAGTTGGAAGGGCTTTGGCTGTCTCTGAACATGTACATGTTAAATTTGGCAATGAGCGTTGGGGAGTTGTCATACTCACTTTATGTCTCTATTAGGAATTCCTCATAATTAATAACTTTTCTGTCAGTGGTGGGCTCACACTCTGGATCTGGGCACTGTCCCTGAGCTTTTCAGCTCAAGGCAAGCGCTCTACCATGACAGCCACATCATCACTTCCCTTTTTCTGGTGGTTAATTGGAGATAAGAGTCTCATGGAGTTTCAAACACAGGATAACTTTGAACCACAATCTTCAGATCTTGTCCTCCTGAATGGCTAGGATTACAGGCATGAACCACTGGTACCCGGCTTCAAAATTAATCATTCTAAATCTTTCTTAGATCATGGTTCTCATGGTAAGGTGATCTACACTTAGTTCTCATAGCACAGTGGTCAAAAGTTCTTATTTTATTTTGGTCGGTTGTGGGGTTGAACTCTGGGCTTGGGCGCTGTCCCTCAGCTCTTCAGCTCAAGGCAAGCGCTCTAGCACTTGAGCTGCAGCGCCACTTCCGGTTCTCTAGTGGTTTATTGGACATAGGAGTCTCACGGTCTTTCATGCTGAGCTGCCTTTGAACCACGATCTTCAGATCTCAGCCTCTTGAGTAGCCAGGATTACAGGCATGAGCCACCGGCAGGCGGCTTGGTCAAAAGTTTTTCTATGGGCCTGAAGCATGACTCAGGGATAGAGTGCATGCTTAATATGCACAAAGACCCGGGTTCAATCCCCTATTGCAAAAAAAAGTTTTTCTTATAAATGCTGCCCATGCATACAGTCTCTCTCTCTGGACTTCTGGCTCCTTCATCCTTCACATTTCTGTGTGACAAAAAACAAAAACGTTTCTGGCTGAAAGACCAGGGATCAGGCCTGACCCTGGACCTCTCATGCACCCACGGCCTGGGGCCATGGCTTCATTCCACACTGGCTCTCAAGACGGGTGAGCTGGAAGAACACAACACACTGAAGGACTGCCCTTTGCCCAGAACTTAGTCCAGGTCCAGTCAGCAGCAAGTGTGCTTGGAGCAGTGCTCTGGACAGAGTGTACCAAGGAAAAGGGTGACAGGGCTCCAGATCTACGGGTGCCCTCACCCCACTTCTCCTTACTTGGAGGTTAGCGCCAACAAGCTGTTTCCATTGAATTGTCCTCACCTTGCCTCTACCTGGCCGGGGGCGGGGCGGGGCGGGGCCATGACCCTCTGCACACCAAGCCCAGGCTTCCTTGCCTGCACCAGGCCTGCTCCAGACATGGAGCCCTACCTGCCTCTGTGCGGCTGGGAAGTCTGTGGAATGATGTGGCTCTGAGGAAGCTTTGGGTTGCTTCTCTCTAGGTTCCATCTTCAGTTGTCCCAAGACAACTTCAGCCTTGTCCCTGAACCCAGCTCCGCCTAAGCCCAGGCTCCACCAGAGGCAGCTAAACACTGTTGTCACTGTCATAAAGACGTTGTTTATAAGGCAGAATGCAGGCTGATGTCCTCTCCCTACTTCAGTGTGGAGCTTCTCTTTTTTGTAACCAGAGGCTCTGGTGGGGCTTGAGATAACAGTGTTCAGAGGAACCACAGGGGCATCTCCCCTTAAAGGAAGTCATTCCATGATCCTGAGAAAGGGAACAAGCAGCTGTAGGCTGACAGGTGAGGCCTATAGGCTTAAGACTAGTCACGCAGAGACTCAACCATGACACACAGGCTTCTGTTTGTTATGTGCATACCTTCAATCTCAGGGTATTTCATTAGAATCAGGAGCCCATATCTCAGAGTGGTACTGGTAGTTTCTGTCCCTGCAAAGAACAGGTCTGCCAAGGTCACAGAAATATTTTCCAGTGTGTACACAGGCTCTTCGCTATGTTTTTCCTGTGGAGTAGGAGACAGACAGGTACTGGGTGAGATGTTGTCCCCAGGTGCTGAAAGTGATGTCTTTTGCCTTTCAGCAGAGTAGAACCAGTGGTATGGCAGGATCTCCTGGTTCAACCAGGCTTTGATCATCTCTACCTCACAGATAGGCAAACAGAGGCTCCTAGAACACAAGCTAACAGGAGGACAAAGCTCCTCAACAAGGCCACGGAGCTATCTCCATCAACAGAGCTAGGGCCCTCCTGGGGGAACTGAGGAACTCTAGCCTCACTTTTGGGCCTCCAGCTGCATGAGCTGCTGAGTCTTCTTCCAGACTTGGGCAGGGAGGGCTCAGCTGAGGAGAAGAAGTCTCAGCCTCAGAAGCCATCCATGGGGAATTAGCATGCATTGACATGTTATAAAAGGGTACTAGAGGCCTCACCAATCTGGGCAAGGCTAGTCCAAGGGGTTTCAAAACCATGAAACTGGGGAGGGACAGAACCTCGAGAAGTCCAGCACTGCTGAGGAATAAGTGCCACCAGCTGTTCTGACGGATTCTGAAAGCACTACAGCCCTCTCCAGCCTGGGAAACTGAAGGAGAGATCCACCTGCCCATCCACCCTTCTCAAGAGTGGAAAGAAGAGCTCAGGGGTCATGCTGAGCCCAATGTGTCTTTAACAATAAAAGAGCATCAAGAGCAGCCAGGGTGAACACTCTAGATGCCAGCAAGTGGGATATGGCCTCAGTCTGAAAAATATACCACATCCACCTTCTATTCTATGCCAGATACCTTCTCCATTTCCACCAGCAGGCAGTCAGTCACATCACGGGGGCAGTTGAGATCCACGGACTGGAGATGTTCCTTGGCTTTTTCAAGTGTGTACTGTTTTATTTCAGACACATTCTTAAGCAGTTTTCTGTGGCTTCCAGGCAGGAAGCGTAGGTAGCCCGATGAAATGTTATAAACCTAAAAGGAAAAATATGTTACTGTATTATTTTTGTGGTTGCCACATCATTTCATGTGCTGGGATCATAAACCCCAAACATCAATTCATGCATGAGATAAATATACAATTTAGAATATTTTGTGCAACAATGTCTTTGTGGTAAGAGTAATTATTTTCCCACGCATTATATCTCTGTGATGAAAATGTGCTGACTTGTGGATGAAAAGCACAGTTGGGTTAGGACAAAGATGCTCATGGATGCATAGACATCTCTTAAAGGGCTCCTGGAACTATCTAGTCAAATACTTTGTGACGTGCTTCTGTTCTAGGGCTTTTCCAAACCTTTCTATCCCATATGACCTAAATTGACCCTCTATTTCTATGGTAACTGTACAACAAAAGATTAATGAAAAGAAACCAAATAACTACCTGGAGCCAAGGAGTGCTAAGCAAGTAGAAGTCCTCATTGAACAAACGCATGAGCCTATGAACCGTCTTGTCATTATAATCGAAACGCCTGTTGAAGAGGATGTCGGCGATGACGTTGCAGGGTGCACAACCAATGAGAAAAGTAGGGTCAAAGGGCTGGCCTGGAAAACAGGTGAGATGTTAGAGCCCACGTTGGTGTAAGGACACGAGCCAGGGCTGGCTAGCCCACCCCTCAGACGCCACTGAGCCTCACCAGTCCCTGTGAGAGCAGGGCCTTCTCAACTATCCTCACGTTTCAGTGCTCTCTAGAGCACAGCAGACACACTTGGTGTGCATCCTGCTCCATTACAGAGTAGAACTGGAAATGAATCAAGGGAGCAGTGCCTGAGAAGCATCGTCACTCTCTCCTGAGAGGAGAGGAGCTGCCTACCTACCACTTCAAGGTTCTTCAGAGCCTTCTCGGGCCTGTCCAAGACCCTCCTCCCTCTGTCCGCCTGGGAACACTCACCCTGGGTCTTCCTGAGCTCCTCCACCAGGAAGCGAGCCTCCCTCTGGATGCGCTCCTCATTGCCCTGTTTCCCCATCCCATAGTCTCGGAGGATGCTCAGGGAAAACCGGCGGACATCCCTCCAGGTGTGAGAATTGTTGAAAATAATTCCTGAAAAATAGGGGCAAGCAGAATTTACCCCAATTGCACAAGTCTCAAAGAAACAGGAGGACTGGGGTGACCTCATCAGAGGCTCAGTACCAGTTGTGATGTGAAACTATGGAACAAGTCCCCTTGAAGGGAAGGGGCAGGCCTTGTTTCTCTGGCACGTTCAACCCTCCCTGGATGTCTGCGTCTTAGCAGCAGTTTATTTTCTTTGGTTTTACACTTACGGCTAGTCTTCTCCATGCTAAACTAAAATGAAACCCCCACAGCCAAATCAAGAGAGCTAGCCACTTTCTACCTATCAACAAAATTCTTGTGTGGCCTTCTGTTCCCATGGATTTTAACCATCAAGTTCCAAACATCTCAACTCCCGGCACTGCGGCTCCCTAGCAATCTCGTTCACGAAGTTCTGAAGGCCTCCGGACTCTGCTGTGGGCACCTCAAGCTGGGAAGACTGAGCACTTCCCCCTCAGCAAGCCTTCTAGGACACAGTCCTACCCTGCCTTTCCCTCCTCCAGAATGTGGCCTGCGGGACTCTCAGGAGAATGGAGACATTTGGAATGAACAGATCTAAAACCATGTTCTTTTGTCCTTGAAAGTGTTAATAGAGACTTGCGTCACTTGCAACGAGTTTCAGCAGTCCAGGGCTGCCACAGACCCACTCTGTTCCTGCCAAGCAGTCTCTGGCGCCTTGTGCTTCCTGTACTCCACAGGCCCCTGTCCCTTCCTCCCTACCTCCTCCCTCCTCTTCATTTATCCATGGCCCTTCTCCAACAAGGGTATGTGGGTACCTGCTCTCTAAAAGGTACTTGCTGGGCACTGGGCATTCTGGGATAAGCAATTCACAGCACCTACTCAACAAAAACTTCACAGCAGCTTTCATACAAGGACAACCCATCCCCAAATGGTCTGAGGGTCTTTTGGCTTTCTTTTTTCTTTCCTTCTTTTTTATAAATGTCTGAGACCAGGACAAAGTCTGTAGCTAACGCTTTTGCACTTTGGCTACTGCTCCACCAATTAAGCTGGCCCCTAACCTTCATTTTGTCTTTCTGATTTCATACTGTCATTGCTGTCACTACGATTGTTTCTGTAGGACTTGGGAGGGGCATGTCCCTGTCCCTAGTGGGCCTGATCATACTTGCTGCCTAGGAGGTGGACTCACCCTTGTTCTCATACTCCTTGAAGGCAGGGATCTCTGCTCTGCCAGAGAACTCATTCTTATATTTCAACAGCCCCTCCTTCACGGCCTTGTAGCCATGCAGGACCACAATACGGTTAAAACCCAGGTGCAGAGTGAAGACAGGCCCGAAGCGCTCTGCCAGCTGTGGGGATCAACACAGAGTGGGTCAGGAACAACACTGCCAGGCATTATTAAGACTTTGGCTGTGGAGGGATCTGGGGAAAGGCTGTCTTTGTCTAGCCTGATGTGGGGACACTCCCCGCAAGAGGCTGCATTACTTACATGGACACCCTCTTCTTACCTGGACACCAAATCTGGGGACATTGGCCCCTCATGTCTCTTCCCTGTGGCAATAGACCCCATAATGCTGCCCGTTGACCTACAGTCTGTGGCCCCATAGCCTGTATCCTCTCTGCAGTGCTTAATAACACCCTAAAGCAAATGTCAAGCGCCAGATCTGCTTGATGGCATTTGGCTTCAGTCAACTCACACAACATGCCCAGGACACAGGTCCTGATGTTCTGGTGAAACGTCACGGCCCAGCACTTACCTCTTGACTTTTCTTTGGCATCTAATGGTGTGACACCAGCCAAGATGCACCTGACATTACGTCACAGCTGGCCCGGAGCAATGCCAGCCACATCAGCCTCACAGGCATCCCACTACATGGTCCTTGTGTGGCAAAGCCATTCTGCATGGTGCACACCTGAGGTGTACCATTGGTTATCACTCTTGGATATTACTATTAATTCAGTTAATTCTTAACTAGGCTAGCACTAGATAACAATTCAAAGCCCTCACATAAGATAATTCCCAACGCTTTGTCCCTAAAATAACGATGTTTATATTACCTTGTTTAAGGACTTAGGAACATCCTTCAAATCCACACTGAAAAAGTTCCCAACAATAGGCAGTGGGAAGGGCCCCGGGGGCAGGTTCCAGCTGCTGAGTATCTGCCTCCAGAGGGATATGAGCAGGAGGGTGGCCATCCACACCAGCAGAGCCACGGTGATGCAAAGGGCAGCCATGGTATCTGGGGTCCTGGGTTGACTTGTAGGGATGACCTGCAGGGAAAGCAAGGCTTTTATAATGCATTATTGAGAGGAGGGTGACCCACCAACCAATGATACTTGCTTTTTCCCTTGGCCCCAGGGATTGGCTGGTTATTAGCTGCCGCTGGGCAGCACTTCAAAGTGTGATCCCTAGAGTAGTTGCCTATTGGAAGTTGCATCTGTGGTTTGGCAAGGATGAGGCTGTGTTTGCCAATATGTGATCCTTGTCACATTGCCAGTAAACACATCAACTATTCACCAGCCCATAGGCCAGTCCTGGGGGTGGGAGACCACCCTCCCCCTTGATACAGCAAGGTCGTTCAGATCATGTTTACATGAGTTTGATGGGGGTAAGGTTATGTAATGTAACATCAGGCATGTGTGACCGTCCAGACAGGCTAGAGGTTAAGTAGTACAAACATCTTTTACCTTCCAATCAGAATTGTCATAGCTACCCCAGGACACTTGGATCACCACTTGGAAATTGTGGAGAAGGGAAAATTAACTTATGAGCCCTCTTCCACTTTGGGAAATCAACTAGAAAATTCAGTGTAAAGAAAATGCAAAGAAAGGGAGTTGCCTAATTTTTAGAGTTAGTCTCTAGTTTTAAAAGGTACACCAATATACATAGTATGTGGCTTTTGCTGAATATAGCACGTATCTCTAGCTAATATGTGCATTTCTGTGTGGAGGGGGTCTATATAGTACTGAGTCTCTAACCAGAGGCCTTATTCAGGGATATAACTTGTACAGGGCATAATTTTGTTGTAGAGAATTAAGTGGAAATCTTTCTCCATTATCACTCTTTCCTTTTTAATTTAATTTCGTTGTAAATGTGATACACAGAGGAGTTGCAGTTACGTAAGTAATGAGGACATTTCTTGTTGATCCTGTAACTCCCCTTGTGTTCTCCCACTTCCCCCCTACCCTCCCGCCGCTCCCCCCTATCCCCTGCTCCCCAATTTGCAAAGGTCATTTCCAACATCATGTCTTGTGTGTATCGCTGTTGCCCTGGCTCACCTTTTGCCCTTGGTTATTACCCTTTCCTTCCCCAAATCAGATAAACATATAGAAGAAATGGGGTAACAAAATCATAATCACTGACAACAAGGGGTAAACCAAAGGAAAAAAGAAAACAAAAATATCATATAGTACATTAAAAAATGAAAAATAAAACCCATTTCCAAAACCTTCAGTCCTTTTTTTTTTTATTGTAAGTCATGGGTCTAACTCTGGGCCTGGGCACCGTCCCTCAGCTCTTCAGCTCAAGGCGAGCGCTCCACTGCTTGAGCCATAGCATCATTTCCAGTTTTCTAATGGTTTATTGGAGATAAGAGTCTCACAGACTTTCCTGCCTGAGCTGGCTTTGAACTATGATCCTCAGATCTCAGCCTCCTGAGTAGCTAGGATTACAGGCATGAGCCTCCGACACCTAGCTACTTTCAATTGATTTTGATTAATGATATTTTATTAACACTTTTTAAAATGTAAAAATAAGCCTTACTCTGGGGGCTCAGGAATATAATCCTAGCTACTTAAGAGGCGGAGATCTCAGCATTGAGATTTGAAGCAGTCCAATAGGACAAAGCTGTGAAACTCCTATCTGCAATTGACAAGACAAAAAGTGGAAATGTGGCTCAAGTGGTAGAGCACCAGCCTTGAGTAAAAAAGTCAAGGAAGAGAACAAGGCCCTGTGCTCAAGACGAGTACAGACTCTCTCTCTCCCTCTCTCCTTCTCATATATATATATATATATATATATAATATTAAGTACTTTTTTGCCTTTTTTCTGTCAGTGCGTTAAATTCAGAAGACTGTGTTTTTGAAATATGTTGTTTTTGTTTATCTAGGGGTAATAATGAAGCTCCACATTTCTCTGCTTCTTCTATTATTTCCTTCAAATAGTCCACTTTCCTTAAAGCTCTCTCTAGGTATTTTATGGAGACTTTTTGTGTGTGGTAATAATGAAGTCACTGATTTTTATTTTGTCTTCTGCCTGGTAATCTGTAAAGATCTTAGTTTGTGTATTGCCATCATGGGCTTTTCTACATCTCTGGGTATATTAGAAAATAAATATCACAGTGGATTACTTATAAATGTTAGGACTTAGGACCTTGTGCTTGCAGGGTAGTCACTGTACCTCTGAGCCACGCCCCAAGTGCTTTCTGGTTCAGCTGTTTGGAGGATGGTGTGTCTAGTGTTATCCTGGCTGGCACAGACATCAGTCCTCCTATTTTTGCTCCTTCATACAGCTGGGATGACAGGTATGCACCACCACACCCAACTATCGGCTTGGTCAAGGTGGGTCTCACTAGCTTTTCCCCCAGCTGGCTCTGAATTATGATCCTCCTGGTCTCTGCCTCCTGAGTAGTCAGGTTACAGGTGTGAGCCACTGTGCCTCTCTGAAAAGATACTCTTAATTGGAAAAGTAAAACACCCAAACAATATGGTAATGGATGAAGCCCAAAGTGAGTCCAAGCTCACCTCCCCGAGGTAGCTTCCACATTTTAAACTTCATTATGAAAGAAAACATGCAACTAATTCTCTTTTTATGATTTTGAATTTTATTTTATGCCTTCTAAAATATTTCTTTTGTAATTTCATTCTGTATATCAGGGAGTTTGAATTGTTGTCCAGGGCCCTTTTGTTTTGACCTGAAGAACTTCGTTAGTGTTTCTTGTAAGACGGGACTGCTTATGGCCTGCTCCCAGTTATGTTTCTCTTCTTTTCATGTATACAGAGTTTTTGGTTGGCAAGACTTTGCTTTCAGCATTTTGAATACATCATCTCCACCTTCTGTTCCCAGGTTTTAAATTAGGACTTAGCTGATTATAACCAGGTTAAAGTAGGAAGAAATAGAACAAAGAAATATTTCCTGCTCTCAGCTTAGGAAATGGGAGTTGAAGACGCCCCTAGCACTTCTTATGTGAATCTGATGCTGTGTGAGAAATGAGGCTCTCCGTGGTATCTTGCTCTGTTCCGCTGCTTTCCAGTTTCTCTGCACTATCATATATCTAGGTGTCTCTGCATTCATTTCGTCTGTGTGGACTTTGCTAAGGTTCTCGCACGCATAGATCCGTGTTTTCTGTCAGATGTGGGAGGTTTCAGTCACTATTTCTCTTTTAATTTTTTACCTCTAATGTATACATGGGTTTAAATGCACACACCAGGTTGTGAGTGCAAAGCATCTCAGCCCATGTCACCTCTTACATTGTTTTCTACTATCTTTCCCAACCTCATCCACCCCCCAAGTTACATGGTTCCATTGTCACATATGCACACTGACCACTATGACTATATTTGCCCATCTTGCCTCTCTCCATTCTGTCACCCCACACTTTGACTTTCTTTGCTCCTGACAACACGTATTTCAGACTTACACCATTGCAATTTTCCCCTGCAAATGCCGTACTTTAGACGATATGTTCATGTATATATGCATATACCCCTATGTATGTCTTCGTATCTGTTTATAATTTATAACTTCCATATAATAGAAAGCAGATTCCCTTTGTCTCTCTCAGCCTGACTTACTGCACACACATGTACACACACATGTGTCTGTGTGTCACAATTTTCAACTCATTTGTCTGTTGTGGTCAGCCACTACTCTTTAAAGAGTTTTTTTATATTCTTCTTTTCTCTTCTTTTTGGACTGGATATTATTGATGACTTACAGGCCTCTGAGGCTCTGCCCTAAGATTTATTTTTAATGTTAAAAATGTTGCTAATGTTCCCATTTTCCTTCTAGAGGAAAAGACTCCAAAGCTTCTTCCTCTCTCTTTCTGGAAGAAATTTTCTTACCTGTCCTTTGCAACAGGACAATGAGAGCACTTCCAATGACATTTACAAAAATCAGAGATGTTTTAAATATTGGTTATAACATGGCCTATCCTGGGGCTGGGAAGGTGGCTCAGTGGTAGAGGGCTTGCCTTGCATGCCTGAGGCCCTGGGTTCAATTCCTCAGCACCACATAAGCAAAAAGAGAAAAGCTGGAAGTGGCGCTGTGGCTCATGTGGTAGAGTGCTAGCCTTGAGCTGAAGAGCCGAGGGACAGCGCCCAGGCCCAGAGTTCAGGCCCCAAGACCGGAACCAAAAAAACAATAACATGGCCTATCCTATCTGCAAAAGTTTGGAAAGTGGTATCCGTTATGTCATCACCACTGGTCATTACAGACACAGATCATTACTGCTAGTCACTACAGCACAGGTCATCAACAGTCATCCTGGAGCCACAAGTCATCCCCAGTGATCACTACAGCCCAAGTCATCCCCAGTGATCACTACAGACACAACTCATCCCAGTGATCACTACAGACACAACTCATCCCAGTGATCACTACAGACACATGTCTTCCCCAGTGATCATTACAGCATAGGTCATCACCAGTGATCACTACAGCCCAAGTCTTCCCCAGTGATCACTACAGACACAAGTCATCCCCAGTGATCACTACAGACACAAGTCTTCCCCAGTGATCACTACAGACACAACTCATCCCAGTGATCACTACAGACACAAGTCATCCCCAGTGATCACTACAGACACAACTCATCCCCAGTGATCACTACAGACACAACTCATCCCAGTGATCACTACAGACACAAGTCTTCCCCAGTGATCACTACAGACACAAGTCATCACCAGTGATCACTACAGCCCAAGTCTTCCCCAGTGATCACTACCGACACAAGTCATCCCCAGTGATCATTACAAACACAAGTCTTCCCCAGTGATCACTACAGACACAAGTCATCACCAGTGATCACTACAGACACAAGTCTTCCCCAGTGATCACTACAGACACAACTCATCCCAGTGATCACTACAGACACAAGTCATCCCCAGTGATCACTACAGACACAAGTCATCACCAGTGATCACTACAGCCCAAGTTATCACCAGTGATGATTACAGACAGTAGTCATCATCACTGATCATTACAGACACAAGTCATCCCCAGTGATCACTACAGACACAGATCATTACTGCTCATCACTATAGCACAGGTCATCAACAGTGATCACTGGAGCCACAAGCTGACACTCGTGGTCATTACAGCTACAAGTCATCATTGCTGGTGAGTACAGCCACCAGTCATCACTGCTGGTCACTACAGCCACAAGTTATCTCCTGTGATCATTATTGTCACCACAAATTGTCACCACTGGACATTACACAAACAAGTCATCACAGCTGGTCACTACAGCCAGTCATCACCACTGGCCATTACAGCTACCAGTCATCATAGTGTCAGAGCCTGCCAGAATCGGAATCAAGGAGAACCTGAATAGCGGGGTGAGGATTAAGAAAGAGAGAAGACAATAGAGCCGGAGGGCTGTCAGTCAATACTGCAGCCGCCCCGAGTTTATTTTACAGTGGCCTTATATACAAGCTCCAAGGGACAAGGGAAATTCCACAGAAACAATTACTGACACACTCCTCTCGGGTCAAAAACATTCAACTTCCTTATCTGACCACAAAGCTCCTCCTGGCTCACAGCAGCTGCTTTCTTTAGCAAAACAACATGTTCTTTCTGTTTTTTCTACAACTTGTTGGAACAAACAAGCTTGAACTCCCTTGACCTACAGGCCAAGATGGATCCCAAATTCAAGATGGAGTCACTGTGGGCTCCCACAATTCCCCCTTTTTTATTTTTTAAGACTCCATCAAGTCTCTCAGAGTGTGTGCCTGTCTTAGGTTGTTTCTTTCGCACTCCAGACTTACGTGTCATCGGAACATGAACTCCATCATTCATGTCCTGTCTTACATTGAAAGGAGGCAAAGAAAGCTTACCTGTCATTGACTACCAGCCTCTGGCATTAAGGGAATGCGCAGAGCTTAACTCCATGGAGTTCTGAGCTTACTTTCCATAAGGAATTATTCACAATTAGCTTGATGATCATGGGCAGACATATAATGCCTACTAACACACATCCACCAACACCTACTATGCCACCTAAAAGTAAAAGGGGACCAAGAGGGCAATGTGGCTTTCAGCCCATGAAGGATATCAGCTGCAGTCACAGCAGCATCACACTTAGGAGTCTAGCATTTTTAAGATTTAAAATTTCTTGATGCAATTCTATTAATTCCAAGGATATGTTTTCATGATGCCATATTCCTTGCAAAGGTCTCTTAATTTTGTCCCAACCAATAGCCCTTTGATTATAAACCTTAGGGGTCACAGAAATCCACTGGAAATCTGCATGACAATCCAATCAAGCTCTAATTTTTAATCCTTGAATTTTACCTCCTAGATACCGAACTATGTCCTACAAAGCTCCAGCTTCATATCTATGTCTTTCTGGGTACCTAATACCATGGTTACATTTTTTGCTATATCATTAAGAAAATGGGCATTTTGAACAGTTTGAGACAAGGCAATAGCCATGGTAGTCGCCGTAGCAATCAAGGATACCAAGGCCAAGATTCCCGCTATGACCAGGCCAACCATCCTCCTAGATCTACTCAAAGCTCTCTACATTACTTCCAGCACTTGTAACACTTTGTCCACATACCAAGGACCAGACACATTAACAGGCACCATAGCAAAAGAAGGTTGCTGAAACACCATAATTGGGGTACTATTAGGTACCTTAAAGATACAATTAGTAAGATTACAATTCTCAGAGGTAGCATTAAATTCTTGATCATTCATACTAATATTTATCAAGCCTACAAGCAAAACATAAGGTGGAGTAACACAAGCAGTCACAGATGAACAGTCCACCTTCCCCCGGGGGTTGAGGTTTTACTTCATCCATTGCTAAGCAAGCTTCCAGATCCACATGTGAGGAGCCCCTGAATCAGCACACCAAAGTCCTGCAGACAGTCCCTTTTCCCATTCAAGAGTATTTGCCTGGCTCGGATCTTGATTGCCAGGCCAATCAAGGATGAACCCAGGTGAATCAGTCACGTTATATTGTCCTCCCAGCAGGGGGGAAATCTCTGCAGTGGAATACCAGCAGTCTGTTCACCCATAGGTAACCATATGCGAGCTCCCAAAAGACAGTTCCCGTGGGAACTGTAGACTGGCTAATCTTTAGACACCCAGGATAAGATGCATTCTTGGCAAAGCAGATGGGCAATCTGACACCGGAACCAGAATAGTCGAATCCTGTCTTACTCTGTATTCCTAATCTGTCCACTGCAGGTTAGTCTAACAAATGAGTGTTGTTCACCAGGACCACGATTTCTCTGCCCTCCCACACGGCAGGATGAAGGATAGGCAGGTCAGGAACGTAGGCCCGGTATGTCTCACCCCTCGCCCCCAGGATCAGCGTCAGGATTATCAGCCAAACAAGTACCTCGTTTCTGCTCCCCACACCGCACCAGTCTCTCAGGCAGCCAGCGGAGCTTCACTGTCCTCCGTTAGCAGCACGGAATTCCCAGGCAGTGGGCCTCTGAGAGGGAAGTTGTTGTTAATAACATCAGGGTTAGTGGTGGGCTGCCTGTCATCTCTGGAACCAATTTCCAGGTTTCAGTCAGGATTCTTCCACGCTCCTTGGTGTTTGAGAAAAGGGCCTGGAGGAGCTGCTGGCAGTCACCCTGGTAGGCTGGTGTGTGAACTGTAAGCATGATGCCCACTTTGATCCTCAGCTCCACCCAGACCCACCTGAACTCCCATCTACCTCACTTCCTATCCCAAGATCCTGCTGCTACCTGGATAGCGGAGGCTGCCATGTGCTCTCTCTCCAGGGGAAATATGGCTGCTCTAATAAACCTTCTAATAATCTTTCTCTTGTGCCTGCCTGCTTCCACATGGTCCCCTGACAAGGATGTGAAGAATCCTTTCATTGGTGGCTCTATGGGGATAGGTTCCCTGGTGGATTTGCTTCCCCCCTCCACTTCGGACGGGGGTCCAAACAGCTTCCCTGGGACCTAGCCTCAGATCCTATACTCCTATTGCCAGAGGACCAACAAGGTAACTTTCTCCTGACTGAGCTCTTTACCTGCTGCCCAACACCAGCTAATTCAGTCCTTCCTCCAGGTAAGTGATCACTATGAAGGCTCCGTGCGTCTCTCGGGGAGGCCTCAGGGGCCCCCTCCAAAAGCTTGGCCAAGTACCACGCTGATGGCCTCCATGGCCGAGAGACACTATGGAGAAATGTGATGACATTTCCCACTGGTTGTTTCCCACTTTTCATGCCAAATGCACTGTTGGGGACGCTCACAGTCAAATTTTGGTTCCACCATCACTTACAATGGAAAAGGACGGAACTAAGTTTCCTTACAGTCAAACCTGGCCCCAAATTTAAAACCACTTATGTGAGTGCTCTGGCAGGTAGAACTCCTCTCTCTCTATTAACCTCTCCCTTCCAGCTGAAGGTGAAAGCATGGATGAGTTTAAGTTTAAACTCCTCCTCTGTGGACACCTCCCCTGTGAAGCCCTCCCCTCTTCTGCACCCCCTGGGCACCCCCTCTTCTGCGGGACCCCTCCTCTGCCTTTGCAGTGTGGGGTGGTGGAACTGGAAGCTCCAGTTGTGCCAGAAGCAATGCACCCTCACTGTCAAAACCTTTAGCTCTCTCTAGCATGGACCGTGTGGTGGATTTGCCATCTTGGCATCATGGGAGCTCAGCTGCTATTTCACACCGACCTCAACTTCATTCTGTGACCCTCCCCCTCTGACCCGAGCAGCAGTGCCATTATACATGTCACGTGTCTGTTCTTGTCTCCTGTTTACTAAAAGTTCATTGTTGGCAAAGTTTTGTGTTTTAAGCTGACTACTTGGTTCCATCATAATTAGGCAAAGTAATTCCAAAAAACCTTAACCGGCCGATTTTAAAATCTAAGCATGCTCTATAATCCATGCACAAACATGTCTGTCTACTTGTCTATATGTAAACACTATGGTTTCAAGGTTACCAATTACTCTGCTTACTAAAAATCTTGGTCAATGAAAGCTGAGATTTAATCTAAATTGCTTTAAAACTTTGTGACCTGACTATAAGCCAAAGAAACTAAGGCTAAGGTTTTGATTCTCCATTTTCTCTCGTGGGAGAAACTACTGAGAGAACAAGAGTCACTATCTTGCTCAGGCGACGTTTTATGTTTAACTTTCTGCCTTTGTTCTAAGCACTGTTGACCAAGGTGTTCTTGAGGAGTGTCATTATGCCGAGAGGTATTATTAAGTTAAAATTAACCTGCACAAATTACGGGAAAGAGCTGTGTGTCCCAAAACCACCTCAGACGGTCCAGCCAGTCCTGTAACTCCCTGCTGATGCTAACCGCCCTGGAGTGTTACCCCTAACCGTGAGCCAATCAGATTTGTACTCATATGTAGGTTTGCTTAAACACCTGGTTAATGTAACTTTTTGGTTTTTGCCTTTAAACCCTGCTGGAATGTTGCTCAGAACCTCTTCGCATCACCGGTTACCGAGTGTGTGGAAAACCAAGCTCAAGCTTGCAATAAATGACTCTTTGCTGTTTGCATTAATTGTGGTCTCTGGTGGTCTGTAAGGGGGCATCCAAAAACGGGGTACTTCAGATGGGGGCTTGTCCGGGATGCCCCCCAGAAGCCCACCCAGACACCTGATCAGCGAGTTGTCTAGCCAGCCGGTAAGTGGGGGTGCAGCTGCTTTGTGTTAAGTGTTTTGTGTCTGACTTGCAAGTAGGGTTTTGTGGCAGGCAAGAAACCTTGGAAGACGCGCAATAAGGTAGCCAGCGGGGCCGGTGGGAGACGTCCCCTGGATCCCCAGGGGGTAAACTATCCAGGAAGGGGTTCCAGTCCCCAGATAGTTTTAGCAGGGGTTCGAGTTCCCAGTCTGGCACTTTTGAAGGGGTTCGAGTCCCCTGGTGTGTCTGGCACTGTCCATCTAACAGTCTACAATGCGCTGCTGTCCTTGTCTTGTCTGTGTTTGTCGTTTTAATCCAGCGCCTCTTTTCCCTTGTTCATTTTAAAACTGCCACTGACCACTCGCAAGTGACCCCAGCAAGATCTTAGCCTCAGGCCTTTGTCAAGGGGGGGTCTGAGCATGGGGAAGAACCTGTCAGTCTGAGGGAATGGCCACTAGGGACTTTTTTCCCTTGCCCCAAGATGACTGGGAATTCTCCTGGGTCAACCAGAAATCTAAAAGAAAAATCCTCCAGAATGAGTAGAGGGGGTTTGAGTCCCCTGGTAAGTGGATTTGAGATGTCGCCCCATTCACTGAGACCTGATTTTGTCTTTGTGGCCACTTGTCTGTCTTGTTTACTTAGGTGTGTTTTCTATTCTGTTTTCTGAGGTGGGGAAGTTCTGGGTGAGGGTGGCCAGCTCACTCAGCAGACTCTGGATTCAGCTTGCTGAGTGAGAACGGTGCAGAGTTCTGGTAGGGAAGAACTGGGGGCCCATTGGTCCCCAACTCAGCCTTCTGTTGTCTTGTCTAGTTCTGTTTTAAAGTTGGTACCAGTTTTAAGTGTGGATTCTTGGTTTTTATGTTTGTGTTTTTGTTATTTATTTGATTATCTCTGGGGGAATAAAAGTTCCAGCCTCTGGCTGGGCTCGGTCATAGACCTGCTATGCCCCCTTCCCTGTGAGGCATGGAAGGTTGCTGGACTAGTTTGGTTCCCTTCAAGTCTCAGGCTGCATTTTCTCCTTGTGGAGGCTGCCGGCGGGAGGGTGTAAAAGGCTCTGTGCCTGGTTTGGACTTTTCAGCTAGTCCTAACAATGTAAAATTGGATTAAAAAAATCAGGCCAGTTAGTTTCAGGTGACCCCCTCCCCCAGCCCTCCTCCAACTGAAGGACTTCAAAAGACCATTGGTGAATTACCTTGCTAAACAAGCAAGCTCTGGGAAAATGAAGGTCAACAAAAGTACTTAGTTTAAAAGAAATACTGTCTTAAATTTTTGTTTAAAATCTTTAAAAAATGTATGTACAACTAATTTTGATTTTTGTGTGCTTTAGTATCTGTGTGTGTGTTTTGTATGTGTTTGTAAACATGTTCAAGATAAGAATTGTCAGCATGCTGTAACAATTGGGTGATTTAAGTTTAAAATGTAAAAGGTTATGAGGTTTGGGCATTACCAAAAATTTTAAAGAACTTTCACGTTGTTTTAAATGGCTTTCTAAGAATTCTTTAACTTAAAAATTTTTTAAATCTGGTATTTAAAAATATAATATTTTAAAATGCATTGGCAGTTTGAAATTTAGTTCCCTTGGCTAAAATTTGAGGATAAATATTAAAAATTTAAGTGTAAAGGTTAGTTTAACACTGTCAAAAACATTACCTGTTCTGTCTGTCTATTTTATTCAAAAACCAAAAAATAAAAAATAAAAAAGGAAAAAAAAGCCAACAGGAGATCTACCTTTAGGGGTGAGGAGTGAAGTGCAGTTCAGCTGGCCATGCATGGTGGGACAGGCCCTGGGAGGAGTCCACGCAGGGTGGAAGAGGGCAAGCTGGCACAAACGCAGTTCATCTAACCCTAAAGGGTTGGATTGGGTGCGTGCTCATTCCATAGGAGGGGCCGCGTGCCCAGTGGCCCTTCTTTGTTCTGTTCCTTTTCCCTGCAGATAGACACTGAAAACATGATGGTAAAAATTAGTGATGTGGTGATCTGATTAGTATTGCTAAAACTGCCCCTTGGATGTGTCAAAGTTAAAATTAAGAAGGTCTTGAAAAGTTATTTGTATAATGTAACTTGCTTTTAATGATGTTCTACAATTAGGAAGTTTCTAAAAGTCATAAAGGTATTAAGTCTAGCTTCTTGGCACGATGATGGGGACTATAATTCTTGCATTAAGAAAAAATTGTCATTTAAGTTTAAAATTTTTAATGTATATTTGTTTTAAAACAAGCAGCCAAAAGACAATGAGTGACACTTGGCCTCAAAATTTTAAGGAATCTTTTCAAAACGCAAATGAAAACTAAAGTATTAAAAAAATAATAAAAGGCTTTAAAAAATTAGAAATGAATTTTTGAATGTAAAGTTTAAAAGTAAAATTGTTTTTAACATTTGCCTCAAAGTGCACAAAGGAAAAATTAGAATTACCAAAATAATTGCTATTTCAGTTTGCTCTTATAAGTTTTTGTAAGTTTTCAGCAAGCCCAGAGCAAAGCACAAAGGATTCTTACAAGTTTGTCAGATGTAACCCTGGCTCTTAATAAGTTCCAGGTAAAAGCATGCTTAAAAGCTATTTCTATGTTGACCACCTTGTTGCTTTTAATTAAAGTGGCACTTTTATAAGACTCATTGATCTGCAAACTGGTTCAAAGCCAGCCCAGGCAGAAAAAAATCCCTGTGAGACTGTCACCTCTACTCAGCCAGCAGAGTGCTGAAAGAGCAAGCAAAGTTGCTTTAGGACTCAAAGTGGCAGAGTGCTAGCCTTGAGCTGGAGAGCTGAGGGACAACACTCAGGCCCCAAGTTCAAGTCCAGCGACCAACTAAGGGGCATTTATCCCAGTGTAGAGAAGATGCTCCTGGGACGAAAGCAATGGTCGAGCATCCAGAGGCAGTAAGCCACTGCTTAGATGGCAGAAATAATGTCAGATTCTAGTCATTTGTGTGTGGCCCTTCAAAACTGGTCAGAGCCAGGAGGTCATGGGAAGATAGTTTGTAAGCATGCCTAATGTTCATGACTACCTTGTAAGGGACAGAAACTTGCCAGTACTCTGTGATAGTAGTAAAAAGCTACGGTTGTAAAATATGGGGGATAGTTTAAATCCCAACCCCTGTATGTGCCAAAAGCTCTCATTGGCAGTAACTTTTGAGCTGATACCAGTTACATAAAATTCATCTGCTCAGGAAAGTTTATAAACCTGAAAGTTTCTATTGACATCTGTCTGAAAGCCTGCACAGGTAACTTAGGCATTGTTAGGGTCACTAGAGATCACATTCCTAAGCCATCCAGAAAGATGCTTTTGCAAACCAGAGTGCTAAACAAGCTACACTGCTGTAGCCAGAGAAAAGGTCTGTGCAGTTGTCAAAGGTAAAATATTGTTCTTAATGACATCTAGCCCCAAAAGCCTCTTTGTAAAATAGGTTAAGGTTGTAAGTTCCTGGCTAGGTAGAATCAATACCCCTGAGGTCAGCTTGAAGAAGCTACAGAAGATGGACCTTCGCCCATCAACCCCCTTTTAAAGTCAAGGGTCCAGAGTCAGTTTTGAAAAACCAAGGCAAAATAAATAAAAATAATTATTTTTTAAGGCATAAAAAATAGTGTTAACAGGTGTGCAAGTGTGAAAACTGCATCTGTCAGAGATGGTTACAAAACTAAGCCTTTTGTGTCTATTTACGAAAATATCTGGTTAGTAAAAAAGTTGTAATTTTGGTAGATTGTCCTGGGCTATTGTCTAAACAGTCTTAAAAACCAACGGGGCCACAGCCTGCCAAACCTATGCAATGTATCCTTAACCAGTCTGTGTAGAAATTTGCAGCCCAGCACGAGGTGTGACAGTCCCTTGGAGCCACTGGGAGACCCTGCTGCTGCTGCTGCACACCCTAACGGGTACAGTTTGAAGACAGCCTGATAGTCACCTGGAGGAAATCTACATTGTCACCCAGACCCCCTCCTCTGTGCTAAAAGCAGACTGAACTCCTGCCTGGTTCTATCACCTGAGACTGCATTCCGGTAGAAAGCTGCTAAAACTAAGATCTTGTGGGACATTCTTTTGGGTGATATCCAGAAACCCTCTCAATTCCCACAGTGGATTTTGGGGGCAAGGATATCACTGGCTTGCTTGCCTTAGGCACTCCAGTGCATAGTGACTGGAAATCCACTCTATAGTCACAGCCTAGTTTGGCTCTGGTATACCTGGGTGTGTTATCAATGCAGGTAGTAATGAGACCCAGCCCAGCTCTTAGCCTTAAAATCTAGCAAGCTTCTGCATCCCAGTGGTGCCTGGAGGCTGCTCTAAGATAACTCAGTTCCATAAGCCTCAGGAAAAAATGGAAAGTTTTAAACTCTAGCCACAAAAACACTCAAAAAGTTGTGGGAAAAAAAGGTAGTAAAAAAAAAAGCCTTGAAAAATAAATTTTAAAAAAGGTATCCTCTGAATAAAAAAAAAAAAATTAAAGTAAAAATTGTCTTAAAGTGTTTATTAAAAAAAATCTCCGAAAGTTTAAGTATGTAGCAAATGGCATAAGTATGTCTTAAAAATTAAAGCTTATAAGTACAGCTGGTATAAAATTAAGTTAGCTGTAATATATAAAGTCAGAACTAAAAAAAAAAAAAAAATTAAGGGCCTTTGGTACTGTTAATTTTGTTACTCACAATCGGACCTTGTAAAAAACAATCAGCGCAGTTCATCTATTAGTTCTGAAATCCCAGTAGCAAACTGTAAATATAAAAAACTGTTCCAATTCGGGGACCATGCTTGGTCCCTGACGCTCTAGAAGAGGAGGGAATGAGAAACTAAGGAGAGAACAAGAGTCACTATCTTGCTCAGGCGACCTTTTATGTTTAACTTTTTGCCTTTGTTCTAAGCACTGTTGACCAAGGTGTTCTTGAGAAGTGTCATTATGCCGAGAGGTATTATTAAGTTAAAATTAACCTGCACAAATTACGGGAAAGAGCTGTGTGTCCCGAAACCACCTAAGATGGTCCAGCCAGTCCTGTAACTCCCTGCTGATGCTAACCGCCC